CCCGCCACTTTAGCGCGCGGCTGGCGTGGCTCTGGGTGCGGTGCAGGGAGGTGGGCGACAGGTGCAGAGCGCTGGCAGCGGCGGGGCGGGGGGACTCGCAGGGCACTGTCACCAGGAGCGCGCCCCTTCCTGCTCCATCTCCTTCAAGGCGACGTCTGTGGCTGGTTGAGTCCGTGAGGGCAGAGAGCGCTGCGTGGGAACCCCGGGTGCTACCGCGCGCCCTGCTGGCTGGGCGAGACTTGTGTGTAGGGGGTGGGTGGGAGTTCTCTGAGGCCCTGAGGTGACCCCAGGGCCCTTGTGCTCCTGCAGGACTTGCGGGGCTGCGTCCCTGACCCCTCGGACTCTAGTGTGAGCGCGTCCTGCAGCTCTTCGAAGAGCTGAAGTTGTGGGTGGGGCCAGCGTCGAGAGCAGGACCGGGACTCGGACGCGGGCGTGGGGGGGGGGCGCGTGTGGAGAGTGATCGCACGCGTGGGCGGGGGGGTGACAGAGAAGCTGTGTGAGCCCCTTTCGGGGCCGGAGGGACGGATCTCCAGAGCAGTTGCGTTGCGGGCAGGGGCGCTGCATGTCTGCATATCATGGGGTGGGGGTGGGGGGAAGGCGGGTGGGACGTGGAGGGGCAGAGATTCTGCCTATCCTCGGCTGAGCGCAAAGGGGCTGGGGACTGTGGGGTCACAAGAGTGAAAGTGAGGCCCCCCGGACTCCCCTGCTGCCCCTCTTTTGAGAACGACTCGGGGAGCTGGGGAGGCGAAGGCTGGATCCACCCTCTTTTCTTCGGGACTGCGTGCGTGGGAGGGGCGGCCCCTCCAAGGGAAGGGGGGTGGACCACACATAAAGAAGCGCCGCTCGCTTTGGGGGGTGGGGCTCATCAGAGGGCAGGAGCGAATCTAGTCACGAGAGTGTCGCTGTGCGCGCGCGGGGAGGTCGTAGTCCTCAGTCGCCCCGGGCCTGGCCCAGCTCCTCCGGGGGCCACGGCGCGTCCCCAGCCAGCGCGGAGCCCCCTCTGTCTGGGCCGGGGGCGCGCCTCCTACAGATGCCTAGGGCCCTCCCTAACCCACCGTGTCAAGGCCCTCTCTGCCCTACTGTCCACTTATCCAGGGGTTCATGTGGTCACTTCACTGGC